GGGATCTTATCAGGCATAGAATTGAGCTGCAGAAGAGGGACAGGTTTCACCTGAATTGGAAAGGACCCATATCCTTGTGGGAAGATTTGCTAGTGCTACTCGGGAGGATTTAAACTAATGAGGGGCTGGGGGGTAGGGTGGTGGGAGTGGATAGTGAGACATGAATTAAAGCTGAGGCTGGTACAGTAGATAAGGGGAGCAAATCAAACAGTCAAGGCATACAAGAGGTTGGTACAGAATCAGCCAAGAATTGTAAATTAAACTGCATTTACTTCCATGCAAGAGACGTGTCAGGTAAGGCAGATGAACTTAGGACATAGTTGAGAACATGGGACTGGGATATCATGGCTATTACAGAAATGTGGCTCGGGGATATTCATGACTGGCAGTTTAATGTTCTGAGGTATAGATGCAATAGGAAGGACAGAAAAAGAGGCAAGAGAGGAAGAGGAGTTTGGTTAGGGATAACATTACGGCTATACTTAGGGAGGATATTCCTGGGAGATCATCCAGTGAAGTTATACGGGTAGAACTGAGAAATTAGAAAAGAATGATCACCTTGATGGGATTGAATTATAGGCCCTCCAGTAGGCAGTTGGAAATTGAAAAGCAAATATGTAAGGAAATCTCAAATATCTGTTAAGAATAACAGGGTTGTAATGGTAAAAGACTTCATCTTTCCAAAAATAAACTTGGATTGTCATAGTGTTAAGGGCTTGGATGGGGAGGAATTTGTTAAGTGTGTATGAGAAACCATTCTTATTCAATATGTGGATGTACCTACTAGAGAAGGAGGAATACGTGACCTTCTGTCAGGAAATAAGACAGGCAAGTGACTGAGTTGTCAGTGGGGAAGCACCTTGGGGCAAGTTTTCATAATTGTATTAGTTTTACAATAGTTATGGAAAAGGATCGAACTGATCTGAAAGTTAATGTTCTAAACTGGAGTAAGGGTAATTTTGACGGTATCAGACAGGAACTTGCAAAAGTTGATCGAGAGAAGCTATTCATAGGTAAAAGGTTGGAAAGTGGGAGACCTTTAAAAATGAGATAATGAGAGTTCAGAGACAGTATGTTCCTGCTGGTGTGAAGGGCAAGGCTGGTAACCGTAGGGAATGCTGGATGACTAGAGAATTTGAGACTCTGAAGAAAAAGGAGGCATATGTTAGGTACAGACAGCTGGGATGGAATGAATCCTGAGAGGAGTATGATGGCAGTAGGAGTATTCTTAACAGGGAAATCAGGGGGCAAAAAGGGGACATGAAATAGCTTCAGCAAATACAGTTAAGAAGAATCCAAACAGATTCTATAACTACATTATGGCAAGAGAATAACTGAGGAGAGAATAGGGCCCGTTAAATACCAATGTGGCTGTCTATGCATGGAAACACAGGAGATGGGTGAAATACAAAATGAATATTTTGCATCAGTATTTACCATGGAGAAGGACATGAAAGCTAGGACACTTGGGGAATTAAATAGTGATTTCTTGAAAAGAGTTAATATTACAGAAGAGAAGGTGCTACAAGTCCTAAAACACATAAAAGTAGACAGATCCCCAAGACCTGATCAGGTGTTTCCCAGAACTCTGTGGGAAACTAGGGAAATGATTGCTAGGCCCCTTGCTGAGATAGTTGTGTCATCGACAGTCACAGGTGAGGCACTGAGAGATTGGAGGGTGGCTAATGTAAAGCCATTATTTAAGAAAGGCTGTAAGGGAAAGCCAGGGAACTATACACTGGTAAGCCTGACATCAGTGGTGGGTGAGTTGATGGAGGGGATTCTGAGGGACAGGATTTATATGCATTTGGAAAGGCAAGGACTGATTAGGGATAGTTAACATGGCTTTCTGTGTGGGAAACTATTACCTTGATTGAGTTTGTTGAAGAGGTGACAAAGAAGATTGATAAAGGCACAGTGGTAGACGTTGTCTAAATGGATTTCAGCAAAACATTCAACACGTTTCCGCATGGTAGATTGGTTAGCAAGGTTAGATCACATGGGATCCAGGAAAGCTGGCCAATTAGATACAAGAGATAGTAGGAACTGCAGATGCTGGAGAATCCGAG